ACAGTTTAGCAATTATAGAGAAATAAAAATCTAAAAAGCCACAAAAGGCATAACTGAGCTTTGATTGAAGTTACCAAAAATCCTTTTCCATGGAAAAATAATAATAATAATAATAATAATAATAATAAGAAGAAGAAGAAGAAGAAGAAGAAGGAGAAGGAGAAGGAGAAGGAGAAGGAGAAGGAGAAGGAGAAGGAGAAGGAGAAGGAGAAAAACTTGCATGACTTTGCCTTGTATCCATATTTTTTTTTTCTTTTGTTTCTGGTTTTTTAATGTGTAAGCCTGGAAGGTTTCCAAATAAGGTGTATTTAGAGAAGCCTTTTCTTCATTTGTTACACCCTGGTCTCTTTCTTCCCTCACACACATTTAATTAATCTTGGGCTTCTTCTGCCAGCATCAATTTGCAAATAAAAGCAGCCTCACATGCATAAAAATTACTTCCATAGTTATAGTTCGTTTTCTCTTTTTAAGCATTCAAATAGCCTGCCATTTTATGCTTTGGCACCTTGCTTTTTCAGTTAACAAATTATTCTTCAGATCACTTCATATTTGTGGGTAGAAATCGTCCCCATTCCTTTTAATAGTACAAGAGTTTGAAGCATCTGTGTGGTCCCTTAAATATATTATTAAAGAACTCATTAAAAGTGGGAACTGTAACTCATCAGGCTTAATTTGGCTACTTCTGGCTTATCTACTGCAAATTTCAATTGGGGATAATTTGTCACTCACCTCCTGCCTCCAACTACCGCCACATGGTGGGAGCACAAAACCTAAATTTGATCATTCCCTCAGGTTAATTATCAGGCACTGGGCTGCAACAACACAACGATGGCATGAACAAAATTTCCAGGTGGGAAGAAGCAAACATTCTCTCTTCTATCTCTGGACACTAAGACCTGGGCAGTAACCTTCATCAGTAGGCTGATGCTTATATGAACACAAACATCTTCAAAAATTGCCTCTTCTCCAATATGAAATCAACTAAGGAGCAAACTGGCACCAAGCCCAGCTGCAGTGCTCCAAGACTTGAATGTATATCTGATCTACTCTATTTTAGGGGGCATGTGACTCATTTGAATACCAGGCATCAATCTCTGGGACTAAGTCTTCCATCAGAGCAAACTGCTAATTTGGTTATGCTAAACACGGGCTACAGTATAATTGCGGTGACAGATGTAGGTAACTCCATCAAGTCAAGCATACACAAGTCTGCGTGGCATCTGCTGCCAAGCTGTCTTCATTGCTGTCATCCCAGTCTGATGTAACTGGACCCCTTAAGTAAAGGACATCCTCACATAGCCCTAGAACTGGATAATCTTAAACATGTCATTTCAGTCTGTGGTTCGCAGCAAATGCTTGGGGGGACAATTTGAACATACAAATGTAATATTAATTCAGAAAAAGAGGTAAGTCAGACATGTATGTGACTTTCATTCTTTTGCACTAATTTTTTATAAAAATTGGTACTGCAGATAGATGGCCATGATGGTAATCACAGTACTTGGGAGACAAGAGGACCATGTGTATGAGACCAGTCAAAACTACATAGTAAGACTATGAATTTAAAAAGGGGTGATGGCTTAGCAATAACTTTATGCAATAAAATAATATTGCTAGCCATTTATGAAACTATTTTTCTGAACAAGAACTTTCTCCTTACTCTGAAAGCAATGCTGTCTTGCTTTTTTGTATTAGCTACTTTTCTGTTGTTGTTATAAAATGCCATGATGTAGGTAGCTTATATAGGAAGGGTTTATTTGGCTTACAGCTTCAGAGGGTAGGAGTCCATCATGGTGGCAAGGCATGGCAGCAGGCAGTCATAGCGGCTGTGCAAGAAGCAAGAAACCTGATTGTCAATGACAAGCATGAGACAGAGAAGTAACAGGAAGTGGAGGAAAAGACCAAACAGTACCACCAACCTGGGACCAAGAGTTCAAATACCTGCTCTTACAGGGACAGTCACACTTGAACCTCCATATCTATTAAAGACATTATCTCTTTATAGATTTATACAAGCTCATTTTGCTGAACACAAAGAAATGTAAAATTAAAAATAATTTGTGCTCATATTTGCGTATCATGCAAATGCAGCTACTGTTAATAATTAATCTTATTTTCTTTTAGGACTTTTTTTTTTCTATCTGTTATATGATCAGTGTTGTGTCTGTAAACCTAGTAACAATAGTGGGTTAAAAGCAATCAAATCTAAGGCTTTATAAGTAAAAAATAAAGCTGCACCTTTCCAATGATATTATATTCTAAGTGTAACTGATGTAATGCTGGGATATTTCAGTTTCTTTATACTTTAGAAAACTTCTTAGTTATCCGCATCACTTACATTTGGGGCTATTGTTGATATGACAACCAAGTTTACAAGAGTGGAGGAGCAAGGCATCATTTTAAGTTTATTATCTGATTATGGTTCTATTTTTTAAACACTTATTTTCTTTTTAAGTATGGGGGGTGGTCACATGAGTGGGGGAGAAGGGGCGCTGTGCACATGACTATAGGTGTTTGTTGTACCAGAAGAGGTCACTGGATCCCGGGGAATTAAAGTTGCAGGCAGTGGCAAGCCACTACACTTGGTTACTGGGAACCAAACTGGAGTCCTCTTCCAGAGGGTAAGCATTCCTAACTACTAAGCCATCTTTTTAAAGCCCTGATTGAAATTCTTTAGTGGAAAAGGATGATTAAATGTTCTATTCCCTTTTCAAGTTGCTCTGGTGTTAATTGGAATTCCTACCCACTTAAAGTCTAAAAAGGGGTTCTTTTCTTAATCAAAGATGACACTAACTCACTCATTAAAAATACACAGGGATAATGGCCTTTGCCTGATTTTTCTCATCATGCCCTTCAGACCAAAAGTTTGCATTCGCTGCTGCTCAGCTGAAATGTGGCAGCCTTCGTCCAAAGACCAGTGAGAGCAAACTGGCTTCCAGGAGCATTGACTGAAGACCTCATCAATTCACATCCCAGACAAAGGTCAGCACAATTAGATCACTTCAATTGAAACGAGCTTAGGAAAAGCTAGACTAACAGAATGGGTAAACCAGCAGATCATATTTGCTTTAGAACAGAAGTCTTTCTTAGTGAATCCCTTTAAATAACTGTTCCTTTTTGGTATGGTTAATTTAATAACTGACTACACAGAAACACGCCTTTCAGGAATTGCTCCCGAAGAGAGCCCTGTACATAAGAGCTTCCTGTTTTGCTGGAAAATCTCTTCTAAAGGTAGCCGTTTGACATATCAAATGCAATGAACAATTACCAGAATTTTGTTTTAATTATAGATGATATAATTTGGGGTAGCATGGAACTGTGGGTAAATTGGTTTCCTGGTTTTGGGAGACCACGTTCAGAGTGTATAGAACTGAAGGGGAGGAAAGACATCAAATATGGAAATATTTAATACTTCCAATACAATTGGAAAAACCTGCACCAGAAAGTTAAGGTCCCAAGCTCGCTCGCTCGCTCGCTCGCTCATTCATTCATTTATTCATTTTTCAGAGGCAAGGTCTCTACATATAGTCCTAGCAGGCTTGAACTCATTATGCAGCCCAGACTGGCCTGGAACTTACAGTAATCCTCCTGCCTCTGATCACATTCAAATGCAGTATTAACATGAGTCTTACAAAGACAATAAAAGGGAATGGGTTCATTCCCAAGCACAAAATACATGATTATTTTAGATAATGCTTTAATTCATTATGCTTATTTAAAAAGATGCATATGAAGATACTAGTAAAACAATCCACCTAGTTTAACTGCGACAGAATGAAAACCCAAGACCCCTTGTTCAGAAAATTAATAATTTCCGGAGGGCAACACCAGAGCCTGATCAAAGAGGCGGCTCAGCTCTTAAGAATACTGGCTGCTCTTGCAGAGGACCCTGGTTCCATTCCTACCACCCAAATGGCAGCTCACAACGTTCTGTAATCTAGGAGATCCGGCCTCTGTGTGCACTAGGCACCCATATGGTGTACAGACACACAGGCAAGCAAAAACGCCCACACACATAAAATAATAAGATTAAAAAATATTAATGAAAAAAATTACAGGAGACAAGCGCAGAGTACCAAAGCAAGCACAGGCCCTGCTGTAAGCTGGGTTTTCCGTGGCCGTACTTGTCGCATGAAGGCCAGCCCCGCCCTGCTGTGGACCCTTTTTTCATACATTGTACTGCGGTTGATGCTGGCTTTGTCAAACTGTTCAGTTTTAGGGACGAGTCTCAGCACAGCAACTAATTTCTTTGGAAATCGCAGAGGGCGTATCATACATGGCTGAACCGATTTTCATTCATTCTTTCTTTTTCCTTCTTTCTTTTCCTTTCTCATTTTTTTTTTTTTTTTTCCTAATTTACCGGTTGGCTTTAAAGTGAATAAATAGTTGCATATTCCTAGCAAAAGCTGGAGGCCGGTACGGAGCATCCCAGAACCCTAGCCCTGGATCTACTGCGCAGCCAGTCAGTCCCTGCCACCCGTGTATTTGACCCCCAGGGGCGGCAGATCTCCGTCATCCCTGTAAACCCCTAGGGAGACTTTCGTTCTGGGAAACCTTCCTTCTGTCTGAGGCGTCAGCATCCCCATCAGTCTAAACCCGCTCCCTGCAACCTCCTCGCCCGCCTCGAGGCCACCCAGACGCCGGGGCCTGCCCAGCCTGGCTGTCCCCGGAGCTCTGCGCCCGGTTGCCAACTCTGGAGACAGCCTTCCCGGGCGCTGCGGGGGCCGCGTGGGGCCGTAAGGGCCGGGTCATCCAACCCGTGCAGCCGAGAGTTCCTGGCCACCTCCGGGTCCGCGCGCCTGGCTAGGGCAGCGCCGGGTCCCACGCGGGCGCGGACGCGGGCCCGAGCGGCTCGCGCTAGCGCAGCGCCCCCGGCGGCCGGGCCGGGCGCGGCGGAGCGGGGAGGCGGCGCCGGGCCGGCCCCCTCCCGGGTCGCCAGCAGTGTCGCGCCTCCGCCCGCCCCTGATTTCCTCCGCGCGGCGGCGGCGGCGGCGGCAGCGGCGGAGGCGCCTCGTGCGCGCGGTTATTTATTTATTTCCGGGCCCAGAGCGCTTATAATGGAGCCGCTGTCAGCAGAAGCTTCTGCTGCCGCCGCCGCCGCCGCCGCCGCCGCCGCCGCCGCCGTCCCTGTCCCTCCTCTCTTTCTCCCCGGCAGATCTTTGTTGTGTGGGAGGGCAGCGGGGATGGACTTGAGCTTGCAGCTCTCCTGCTAGAGCAGCCGCGCTTGGAGAGGGCGCCACCGCCGCCGCCGCGAGCAGCCGCCGCCCCAGGCCCCGCCGGCCACGGCCTCGGTCCCCGCGCCCTCCGCGCTCCGCGCGCCTCCCAGCACAGTGCCCTCGCGGCGGCAGATGAGTGTGGGGTCAGCCCACGGCGGGGACTATGGTGAAATTCCCGGCGCTCACGCACTACTGGCCCCTGATCCGGTTCCTGGTGCCCCTCGGCATCACCAACATAGCCATCGACTTCGGGGAGCAGGTAAGCCCGGCCGCGCCCGGTGCGCCCTACTCACCCAGCCTCGGCCTTGAACGCCCGGAGCCGGGGGGTGAGAGGACGGGAGTCACCTGCTCCGAGCCCCCCTTTAACCTGGAACATTTGACATGGCTTTGCAGCTTGTTGAAGGGCGACTTTTGCAGCACCCCATTCCCTACCTCCGCAAATATTGGAGACTTTTCCAGCTTTCTCTGGAATATGGCAAGCGACGGGATGATGGGGGAACTTCACCTATAGAAGGGGGTTTCGTGCTCGGGATGAGTATTATGTAATTTGTGATTATGTAAACCCGGGGCCCAGAACTCCATGTAGTTTCTATTAGCATTGAGTGCTGGCTTTTTACTTGAATACGGTCGGTGGTGATAGTGATGGTGGGAGAATTTGCTTTACAACGTCTCCAAGTTGATTTCCCATGTACTTCCAATTTTTACATCTCTGCTTGTAGCCTAGGCAAGGTTTAGGGGTGCCCTGAAGGTGCCTTGCTCAGAGAACCACTGCCTGTCTCTACTTCGGGGTTTCTGCTTCCTTTCTTTTTCCTTCCTTCCAGCCTTTCTTTTTCTCCCACTCCCTTGGACCGGTAAAGAACAGGAGTGCTTTTCTGGTGCTGCCTTCTCGTCCTTGTTTCTTTTTCATGTTATCTCCATGTGGCGTCATTGCTGATGTGGTGCCGCAGCCTCTCCAGTGGCCGTGAGGCACTGGTACCCACTTTGCCTGTGGGAACTGGTTTTTGCAGGGCTCCCAGGCAGTTGAGGTTGCATCCTAAGGCCCAAGAGAGGACTTGGGGATGGGAGCTGCATCTTTTCAGAAGTCCAAGATAGACCCACTTTTGCAAATGGACTCACCCCATTCTCTTCGGAGCAGTAGGATAAATATTCTTTTGTTCATTATGGGGTCTGTGTGTTTGGGGGTGGAGGCAAGAGTGAGGAGGTCCAGACAGTAGCTGGGTAGGCAGGTGTACCACATCTGTGTAGGAAATGATGATTCATGTGCGAAGGTGAAGAGGCCATAGAGGAGCGAAAGGAAACCGAAGTTTCTGCTTCACATGCCTTGGAGATGATTAAGAAATGCAAGATTATCAAAACATCTCATCAGCTTTTAAGCCTCTGACTTGTCAAGAACAAAAGACTAGGAAAGTCATTTAAAATGTTTCTTGGGTAGGTTTATTTTTTTATGATTATAAACATTAATCAGTGATTTCTTTAGGGACTGTGACAGAACTTTCAGAGTGGAAATTTATATTCCGCTGAAAGGTTTGGCCACAAAGGTGATCACACAGGCAATCGCACAGCAAGGGGCGCAGAGCATGTGTTTTGAAGGGTGCCCATTGAGAGACCTGTAAGTCCGTTCTACCTCCCTGATTCTCTGCATGGACATCATGGAATTCTCTACCATTTTATAGCTTTACAGTTGGGGAGGTAATACAGCAGAGTGTCCCAGCAATTACAAAAGCTGTTTTCAGCCGGGCCTTTAATGCTAGCACTGAGGAGTCAAAGGCAGGTGGATCTCTGTGAGTTCAAGGCCAGCCTGGTCAACACAGTGTGACTCTGTCTCAAAAACAAATAAAACCCACAAACCAATCTATTATCATAGTTAAAAAATGTTGATAGTCTTGAGAAGTTGGGATAGGGTTGAGTTCTGTACTTAACAAGAAAATTATATAGACCAAAATGATCATTTTAAAAATACAATACATAAGCATTATAGCAAAGAATGAGAATATATCTATTTTCACAGAAACTATTTTTGATATGTATATGTATACATATATATATATACTATACATATTTATATTATGTATATTATAATTTAAAATCTCTCTCACACCAATTTCTGTGTGATATTTTAAAATAATATTTAAAATGATTATGTGTGTGTGTGTGTATTTGTCCTTTTATCCCCATTATTACTGGTTGATAGTCTAAGGCATGAATCACTTCCAATCAAGTACATGATTTAAAAAATCATGTTATATTTATGCATGTCTACTTGAGGGGTGAACGACAGGCCTAGACATGGTGAATCTCATGCCCAAAGAAACATAGCTAGTATATGGCAGACCTGAAATTCAGGTCTACAGCCACCTTGGCCCTTGCAGGTTCTGATGGTCAGGCTCCTCCCATCAAGTTTTCACAGTGATCTTTTCTTTTCCCAGTTTTTTTAGACGTTTAGAAATAAGTTCTAGCTTTCCAGATCTTATCCTAGGCCAAAATTTAATCTTAGCTGCTGTATTTTGAACCTTTAGAATTTCATTTATTTAGTGAGACATACACACAGGCAAGGAGCCCTGTGAAAATCAGAGGGCACCTTGGGGAAGATGTGCTCCCTCCTTCCTCATGTGGGCCCCAGGGATGGAACTCAGGCTGTCAGGCTTGGCAGCAAGCACCGTTAGCAGCTCAGCCATCTGGCCAGCTCCCACATTCTGAACCTGAAAGTCTCAGTAGATAAAGGGAAATGGTAAGAGTGCTCCCAGGAAAGGGAAATTGTAACCCAGAAGTTCATGTTAAAAGAGATGGATCATTCAGATAATTCAGCGGACACAATATTTAATTTTAGTAAGGTTCAGTTAGTCTTTGCTCTAAGACCAAGCTTGAGAAACAGCCAGTACTTCTTAATGAAGCTATTGAAATCAGACTTTACCAAAGAACAATGTAGACTCCTAAGGAAAGAAGCAAAATGCTGGGGTATATTTTATTTTAGAATTGTATTTATTAGTCTGTGTGTGTGTGTGCGTGTGTGTGTGTGTGAGAGAGAGAGAGAGAGAGAGAGAGAGAGAGATATGTATGTGTGTGAATGCATACCATGGCACATATGTGGAGGTCAAAGGACAACCATGTGGAGTCACTTCTTTCTTTCTGCCTTTGGGTGGGTCCTGCTACCAGACTTTCAAGGCAAGAACTTTACCCACTGAGCTGCACCTCCTCACACACCTTCCCTTCAGGGTATATTTTAAACAGCATGTTTCTTTCATGCTCTCTGAAAGTCTGTTTGGTCCCAGGTACAGAGTCCCAGATTTTCTTGAAACCAGGCACACCAAGTGTCAGGGTTTCTGTTGCTGTGATGAAACACCATGACCAAAAGCAAATAAGGGAGGAAAGGGTTTATTTGGCTTACACTTCCACGTTGTAGTCCATCACTGAGAGGAATCAGGACAGGAACTCAAACAAGGCAGGAGCAGATGCAGAGGCCGTGGAGGGCCTCTTATATCCAGGGCCACCTGTCCTGGAGTGGCCCGACCTGCAATGCACTGGGTCCTCCCACATCAATCAGTAATTAAGACAATGCCCTACAGGCTTTCCTGCAGCCCAATCTTATGGAGGCATTTTCTTAATTGAGGTTCCCTCCTCTCAGATGACTATATATTGTGTTAGGTTCGCAAAAAAACCCAGATGGTATAGCAAGTTATGTAGAAAAAATAACTATATCGAAAGGTACTTAATAACACTTAAAATGTTCAGGGCAACTTGAGTGAAGAGTTTACAGCATTTATTTGTTTGTTTATTTATTTATTTATTTTGGTTTTTCAAGACAGAGTTTTCTGTATAGACCAGGCTGGCCTCAAACTCACAGATTTCCACCTTGCCTTTCCACTCTGCCTTCCTGAGTGCTGGGATTAAAGGTGTGCACAAGTGTTATAGTATTCTTAAGATGAAATTTATTCTTAACTTGAAATTTAATCTACCTAGTGCCAGATAGTCCTCACATGATAAGAGACATCCTTCCCCCAACCAAAGACAGGAGTTTGCTGTGTAGACCAGGCTATACTTAAACTCTGGATCCTCCTGCCTCAGGCTCCTAAGCTCTGAGACTAGAGGTATGTGCTCTATGCCAAGCAGATATTTCAAATGGCTCAAAAGGAGCCACTGAGTTTGGTAGAGTTCAGTGTCATCATCCTCACATGATGAGCTGCCTGAGGTAGGTGCTAGGACCTGGACTCTGGTCCTCTGGAAGAGCAGGATATGTTCTGTATTGCTTGTCCACGCTCCCAGTCCCACAGCCCAGCATGTCTTTAAAAAGGGCTTCAAAATATAGAAAGAAACCCAGAATTATGCTTCTGTTAAGTTAAGGGTGTGTTGAATTATCAGTGTCATAAATGAAGGAAGGGAGAATGAAAGGGCCAGGAAAAAAGTGTGGTGGTTTGAATGAAAATGACCCCACAGTCTCACAGGGACTGGCACTATTAGGAGGTGTGGTTTTGTTGGAAGAGGTGTGGCATTGTTGGAGGAAGTATGTCACTGGAGGTGGGCTTTGAGGTCTCAGATGCTCAAGCCAGGCCCAGGGTGGCATTCTCTTTATATCCAGATGTAGAACTCACAGCTCCATCTCCAGCACTATGTCTGTCTGCATGCCACCATGCTTCTCACCATGACTATCGTGGACTAAAACTCTGAACTTGGCCTGCCCCAGCTAAGTGTTTTCCGTTATAAGAGTTTTTGCAGTCATGGTGTCTCTTTACAGCAAGAACACCCTGACTATGACAGCAGTGTTCTATCTTTCTAACATACATCTTCATTTCTTTGCAACATAAATATTTTCCATTAGACCAAGAAGTATAGGTATAGAAAGGGTAAGAATTAGTGTGTACCTGATGTCTTGCTTGGAAAGGGTTCTTCCTTCATTCAGGGTCACTATGCTGAGCCATGCAGGGACCTCATGGGTGGGTTTCCCTGATGTCATGATCTGCTAACTTTTGGGCACACCATCAAAGTGCTTAAAAAACCGAGTGTCAATTCCAAGCTAAGTTTCTAGCAGACAATAGGTGAGACAGCATACCCTTTCAATCTGTTCTGTGTTGGTGAGATAAATTTCAGTGTAATTTTTTTTCTAATTATAAAAGCAGTATATGGCCAGGTGCTATAGGGCATGCCTAGAGTCCGCACTCAGAAAGCTGGGTCACATCATGAGAATGTGTCTCAATTCATAAAATGTAAAATATACTAGTTGTCAAAGTATGGAAGCAGGAGGTAGGAGGATGGTACTTTTAATTC